TCTTGTTTTTATGGTGCATTGCATATAAATAAGTTACATTTGGTACTCCTGCTGCTTTCATGTCGCCACATTGACAATTTTAGTTGTTAGTGAATAGGTGAATAAGTGAATAGGTTAGGTGCACAGACCACAATTGGTTACCCATGTGATTCTGATCTGTGGTGTGGCCCGTGTGGGTGGGTGCTTGTGCTTAAAAGTTAAATTGAAATAGATCGATGACCCTCTATATTGCTTTGAGATAAACTTTTTAAAAGTGTTTACTAAGTATTTGTGTCCTGGGCTTGAAGATGTTGCGACAAATAGCTAAAGTGCCCAGCATTATAAATGTGTTGATTGACAAAGAAATTGCTATGTTTTGATCGTCTTTGATCAAATTTAAATTAGAAATGTATAACTCTTGGCTTTAGCTGGAAGGTAGTTGGTTAAAGTGCCCAACATTATAAATTTGCTGATGTGCAAAGAAATTTGATGTTTTTTCATCTTTTTAGTTTTTTGATACAAATTCAATTTAAATAGTTATATCTCCAGGCTCTATGTGGAAGGCAGTGGCCATTTCAGCCAACACTTTCTAGTTTCTAGTGGACTCTATTGAAAATACTTATTGCTTACCTGGTTTACTTACCTGGTTGGGTTCCAATGTCCAACTGTGAGGGAATGGCAATTTAGGAAGTTGAGGCAGGGAGTGGACTTCGGAACCCCAGAAACATAAGGCGCGCCAAACAGTAGTGCTGGAATGTCCTATGAGCACAATCATAAATAAACTGTCTGGAAATGTGCGCCTCACAACAGTAATTGACATGTAGCATATACTAGTTTCCTAAGATGAGACAGTAAGACATGATTGCATTTGGAGAAAATTATCTTCCAATGATTTCAAACTTTTTCTTTTTCATAGGCTCTGAATTCTTATTGAAGAAAAGATTTACATTCCTCCTTAACACCTTTATGCCTGTATTTGAGATGAGCCTTAGGTTAGGACAGATAAGCGAATGTTACATATATTGTGCTCTTTCAGGTGTATGGCTCGACAAGTACTGCAGAAGTAATCTTTGCTGATTGACAATGGAGGCACTGGTCATCGTGCTGGATGTGGGACCCTCCACTGGAACACTGTGTGCTGATGGAGGAGCCACCTTCATTGACACAGCCCTGCTGTGCTGTGACCGCATTGCTCAGAGGAAGCTATTCGAGGACAAGAACAAGGATCACATGGCCGTGGTGGTGGTGGGCTCAGAGGAGAGTGACAACCGCCTGGCGGACGCTGACGCCGACCAGTACCAGCACGTGAGCCTGGCGCGCCGGCTGGCGCCTGTGGACTGGCCGCTGGTGCGCATGCTCAGCCCGGACCGGCTGCACGCCACGGAGGCGCAGGGCGACTGGCTGGACGGCCTGGTGGTGGCGCTCGACCACCTGGTCGAGATGAGCCGCACGCACAAGTACCAGCAGCGCCGGATCGTGCTGCTGACCGACTTTGGTGGGCCGCTGTGCACCGACCAGCTGGATGCCATCAAGGCCGGGCTCAGGAAGTACGATGTGGACCTGATGGCCATCGGGACGGAGCTGGCCACCGACGGTAGTGACGAGATGCAGCTGAAACCCACCGGCAAGACGGAGACCGCCGACGACCTGCAGATGAAGACCGAGGACGGGTTGGCGCTGGGCGGCGGCGAGCCGCGGCCCGGCCCGTCCGGCGCGCGCGGACTCTACCGGCACGACGGCAAGGCCAAGACGCGCCAGCAGCTCGAGGGCGAGTCGGCCGTGGTGCAGCTGATCCGCGCCGTCGACGGCGGCTTCTTCACCTTCGAGCAGGCGCTGCCGCAGCTGCTCTTCTTCCACAAGCGGAAGTCGCGCGCGGCGCCGTGGAACGCTCCGCTGCAGATCGGCGAGAGCCTCTCCATCAACATAACCGGCTACAGCCAGATCAAGAAGGTCACCATGCCGTCGTGGCGTAAGCTGGCGGCCGGCCCGCAGCCGGCGCCGGTGAAGCGGCGGACGACGTACGAGCGCCAGGACGAACAGCGCTCGGCTGTGCCGTTCGAGGAGACTGAGCGGGCGTACCGGTACGGCACAACGCTGGTGCCGTTCTCGCGGCTGGACCAGCAGGAGCTCGAGTACCGCAGCGGTGCGCCTCGCTCCATCCAGGTCCTGGGCTTCACGTCCGCCTCCAACGTTGGGCCGCACCTGTACCAGGACACACAGACGGTGCAGGTGGTGGCGCGTCGCGGCGACGCCGGCGCAGAGGCGGCACTCTCGGCGCTGATCCACGCGCTCCAGGAGACGGACATGGTGGCGGTGGCGCGGCGCACCTACAACAACGGCGGCACGCCGCGGCTCGGCGCGCTGCGGCCTAACATCCGACACGACCTCGAGTGTCTGGTCTGGGTGCAGCTGCCGTTCGCAGAGGACATGCGTAACCCGCTGTTCCCTCCGCTGCCGACGGCCGTCCCTCAGGAGACGCTGTCGGCCGTCGATCAGCTCATCGACGCCATGGATCTGACGGCGCCGGCGGCCGAGGAGGCCTCGGAGCGGCTGGAGCCGGGCGCGCTGCTCAGCCCGCAGTTCCAGCGGCTTTACCAGGTGCTGGCGGCGCGCGCTCTCCACCCGGGCGAGCCTCTGCCGCCGCCGGACGCCGATCTGCTGCGCCAGCTGAGCCCGGACCCGGCGCTGGCGGCGCCGGACGCCCTGCGCGCCGTGGCCGCCGCCTGTCCGCTGACGGAGCTGCTGCTGCCCCACCAGCGCCGCGAGACCGGTCGAGACGTGTTCCAGGCGGCGGCCGCCGCCACGCCCGACCAGGCCGGCCCGGCAGCCACCGTCACCGACCTCATCAAGCCAGAAGTCACCGAGGTGGGCACCGTCAACCCGGCTGAAGACTTCGACGTCCTGCTTCGACGCGACGACGTGCGCTTCGACGAGCTGTGCTCGCAGATGCAGCGGGTCATCTCGCGACTCGTGCGAGAGTCGCTGACACGGCCGGCGCTGCTGGAGAAGACGGTGGCGGCGATCGGACGGCTGCGCACGGCGTGCCGGGGCGTGTCGCCGGCCGCGTACAACGCCTGGGTGGCTGAGGCGCGCGGCCAGCTGTCGGAGCGGCCGGCCGTCTGGCAGCGCGTGGTCGCCGACCGGCTCGGACCGATCGTGGCCTCCGAGAGCGCCCACCCGGCCGCTGAGGAGGCCGAGGCGACCCGCTTCTACGATGGCGGCGCGGCGGCGGCGGCGGCCGTGGAGGCGGTCCAGGCGGCCGAGCAGGAGGCTGCAGAGGACCTCCTGGACGACCTGTGAGCGGCCGGCCGACCGACTGGACTCACCCGGCGCGGCGACGGATCAGACTCACCCGGCGCGGCGGATAAGGGTATCGCACAAACGGCAACCTCCCCTCCCGGTGTCTTGGGTAGTCATCTGCCTCAGGGCCCGGCTAGAGACTGCTGTGTTGTGTGGTGTTACGCTCGACAGCTGACTACGGCCAACCCCACCGTGTGGATTCATTGCAGCACTTAGTGCCTTGCCTCGCAAAATTGGCCGATGTGCTCTTGCGTTTGTTGATAAACTTTTGAGGTAGGCAGATGGTCAAGGTAAGAGGATCGAGATTGTTTCGTAGTTAATCTTCAATTCCCAGGCAGAGGAAGCTTTCCGTGGCGTTCTGTCATGGTTTATGTTTGTGATCATAAGTGTGATGTTTACTGAGCCTCGTTTGCGCTTTTGTTTTTCACCGATTGTATTTGTTACTCTTCTTGCTGTGTCATGTACGTCGGTAGATTCATAGACATGGTTGATACCTGGCTAGTGCGCTTCTATGCGGTTAGTTTAGAATGTATTGATGCGTTTGCACGGTTCGTTCAATCCCTAGGACAACACAATCCCCGTCTCTCACTGGTTTCAGCTGCAAGGGGCCTTCGTGTAAGCGACACACGCCCGGTTCCACATTGTCGAATCATAAATTATTGCGGTACAAATGAATTCACCATTGACTGGTCCATGACTGCTTCTAGAGGCGCCATTTGATGTGACGTACGCCTGGCCTGATTACGGAGCGAGCGAAGCGAGCGTAGTCTTTCCTTAGATTAACGGAAATTTCTGAGTATGAGCGGCCGGCCGGCCGGCCGGCCGTGGTCACGCTTTTGCGAGGCTTATATCTCAGCAACCACTTGACCGATTTACATGCGGTAATTTTTGTGGGGTAGCTTCATTCCTTCTACCAAGTATTGGACTATTCCCGATGCATGTGGGTGACCCCTTATGCACGTGCCACGTGCAAAACGAAGAGGTGTCACTTTTGTAATTGTTGCAATATCTCGGTAACTACTTGGCCGATTGCGCTGAAAGTTGGCATGTAGGTAGGCACCCACTAGGCACTGCATATCCATGTGCCAGAGTTGGGGTGCTGCTGCACGTGCGCACGTGCAGGGGTCGTTTCCAGATCTCGAGAACGGCTGGACCGATGGCGCTCAAATTTGGTACATGGTTAGAGACCGGTTAGTAGGGTGCCGTGCAAAAGTCAGTTGGGACCCATTTTGCACGTGCGCACGTGCAGGGTGCCGCTTCCAGATCTCGAGAACGGCTGGGCCGATTGTGCTCAAATTTGGCACATCGCTAGAGACCGGTTAGTAGGGTGCCGTGCACAAGTCAGCTGGAGGTACCCCCTCGAAATTTCGCACGTGCAAGACTCACCCTCTCGCTCGCTCCGTTAGTCGCCCCAAAAGGCGCTATACTGGTGTAATACAGCCTACAGGGCATCTGTGTCTCGCACCCTGCTATATGTGCAGCTCAGATCCGTGTCAACTCGTGCTTGGATACTGACTGATGGTCCTTGCGCGTCTAATAGCAGCGCGCGGTGACACTTCGAACTATGTGGCTCGCCGAGCCCTTGCCGACACGTCGATATGTTTTCAAACAGCTGTTGTTGTTGATGCAGATAAACTCCTCGGAGGCAGTTGGAATGATAAGTAGTCTAAAATCGGAACAAAGCTCGCTGGAAAAAGGCGAATAATTCAATATGACGATAGTTTTACAAATCATGTTTTATTACCACCACATCGACGCGACGCGTAATAAGATTTCAGCTTTGTGAGAACAAATGAAACCCGCCTAACGGCCACACTTCCGTGCCTGACTGTACGCTCATCACGGTGAGCTACACCAAAAACCACACCCAGGCCCCTCGGTCCCCGTACCACAGAATGATGAAAACAATATACGCCCGATCCCGGCAGCGTTCACCGCCCCATTTCTTCTTTTTGGCCTTGGAAGCGTCTGCGCTCTAGGCGGATCTGGGCTTCTGCCAGTTGAGCGGGTGGCGCCGGTACATGGGCCACGGAGGTAGCGTCAGCTGCAACACGGGTCACAGAGGTCAGTCGGCGGCAGGAGGGGCCGGTACCGCGCTCCGGATGGACCTGGGACAGCACAGAGGCCAGTCGGCGGCAGGAGGGGCCAGTGCCGCGCTCCGGATGGACCTGGGACAGCACAGAGGTCAGTCGGCGGCAGGAGGGGCCGGTGCCGCTCGAGGGCGCACAACTATAACACAACACAACTAACACAACAAACAGTCGGGACTGAGGTGGCTGGCTTGAGACACAATTAATTGGAGTGGCAGGGATGCATTCTGACTGAAGCTCGAAGGAAGCAGAAAAATCACTTACACACATATGGTGAAAAGGCCTGAGGGCTTGAGTCTTGACTCTGTAACCTCTTGCCTTTGAACCATGAGAGTGGGAAACCAACACATTCTAGTAAACAAGAAAGGTGGTACCTAAAATATAAATTTCTGGTTGATGAAGTTAGAGGTGGCTATTGGGTTATTATTAAAGGAAACAGTCCACTTTCCTGAAATCAGTATTTTGCTATTGATTTATGATTTTTTATGCTCAAAATAATCATGAAATAAAATAAAACCTTTTTGTAAAAACAATTATGTTCTATATTTTAATATAGGACGAACTATATTCTATGTAAAATAATGTTTGACGCAGAAGCCTATTACGCATTGACCAATCATATTGCGTAGCTCAAACCTACGCATACTGCATTGGCTGTAAGCAGCACGCTGATTGGCTGACGATGACGTGGCTGCATTCCTGTGCAAGGCACGCATTCCTCTACAAGGCACTCTTTTCGGAACGAGAAATGGAATATCTTCGTCTAGGGTGATCGTTGAGCCGTAAAAGCTCCTGATTTGTGCTAGTCTCAGCTCAAGCTACGAAACTGCTATTCCAGCTCAAAACCCCATGTTAAAAGTGAACTATTTCCTTTAAATGGTGCCAATATTGCTATTTACAGTTTAAGTATCCAGTGATGTGTATGGTATAGGTGCCACCACAAATTTACTCAATATTCACCATTATGCTTTAAAAAAATCAGAATGTTTTCCCCTTGCATCCAAAAGGGAAATGGACTAGCTTACTTCAGTCAAGAGTGTGAACAATGAGCTTAACAAACAAAATAATCAACATTTATTTTATTATCTCACCAAGCATGCTAGAGCCACACCAGCGCCCAGTATGTAGACAGTTTGTGAGAACTGCTGGATGGAGTATCCCCAGACAAGGCCCACAACCTGTGGAAGAGCAAATGGAGCGCATCAGCTCATCATTTGGTAAAGCAACAGCATCATCTTTATTGACAAAGCTTTAGCATCATTGAATATTGATTAAGGTATGAAACTGAAATTAATTTGAAAAATGTCTTTGTAAAATGTCTAAATAAATGAAGCAGTGTTTACATGAACATACTCTTTTTGTTATAAAGGTGGAAGACATGGAGCAAAATATGAGCAATGTAAGCATGATAAATAGCACATGTTCTATAAATTTAATAAATGAATGATACTGCCTTATTGTATGCATCAGTATGGTTTAAGAACAGATTCAAAAATTAATTATGGAAAACTATATCTGCATTCTGTATTTGTATTATCTAAATACAGGCCCTATACCTCATGTACAGTGGCAATCATAGAGCAAAATATCACTCAAAAATTGTCAACTTACTCCAAACAGAACTATGATGACTTGAAACAGTCTCTCTGCCCATTTCTGTCCCTCGTAATCCTGTAGGTAAGCAGCATATGAGTCAGATTATACAGGTCACACAAAACTTAGTGTACTGATAATTTATAAAATAAATAACTGAAAATCTAATGAAAATCAAGTTCAATAACTTCAGTTTAAAAAGGAAATGACGCTGTGGTTAGAAGCATCAAAATTGAAGTATATTTTTTGTTTCACTATAAAAGAATAATATCAGGATTATCATAATACACACATGACATTACCCATGAACAGCCAGAATAAAGCAAATTGAAATCAGCAAGACATAACCTAGCCGCTGTCCTCAAAATGACTTCACTTATGACACACCAAATTTGAATTACATAAATTGGAAAAGATGGATGTCAAGATCAGAGAAAGCATCAGAGCATTGCAGACAACAAAGGAAAATGACGAAAACCAGACAAATATTAAAAAAAGGGAACACAGTAGCCGATCAAACCATAACATGAAGATTGAATGCTTCAACATACCATATGAGTAGGGATCCATGCAGGAAGCTCAATCATCTTTCGCAAATTTGATATCAGCTATGGGACAGACAAAATTGAAATATAACACCTGCCTATCACCCAAAATGAATAATAAATATGCAATCACACGTCCACATCTGTGACACACCGGTGTACACAAACAACAAACGTCATCTAACATTACCCCAGAACTATAACACAAACATTTTGCCAATTTTTTTACTTGTGTTTGAGCCAAAACTTATATTTTTCCAGTTAAAATTTAAGGTTATGTCATGACTTAGTCATTTTTTATCTCATTTCAAAAAGTTTTTGTTGTTGTTTTGGGCATGACTGTTTTCTCACTGAACTGCACTGAACTCTGTTTTTTTTTTAAGTTGTGCGATATATGCCGCAACTTATTCAAAATAGTTCTGTTCAATTCCGAGTACACTAGTGTTGTTGCCAGGTGATTTGCAAGTGCACCTCAAGTTGCTAGGAAATACATATTTGTTACATACCCAGTGAGCTTTTTGAACAGGCTGGAAAATTTGTGCATTGTGGCTTCGTTCGATTCTTACAGATTGAGATTCTTACATTCTTACAGATTCTTACAGTCAGAGTATATATATCACCCTTACAGTTTCGTTTGCATTTCGGTTTCTTTTGGGTTGCTTTTGGGGGTTTCCTTCAGTGCGCTTCTTCCTGGGATTTCTCAACTTACAACAGGCCTCAACAGAGGGTGTTTTTGGTCAAATTAGGTACTGCAGAATAAGAAAAGAAATTGAATTTTTAAGTGAACTGAAGAATTCACAGCTCTCAAACTTATCTGTAGGTGCAGCATTTAGGCCCTGTTTCACATTAGTTGGAATTGAATGTAAATTGCAATTTTCTCTCTCAAAGTAATAAAAATCAGTTTAAGTCAGCCTGGCATCCCAGGAAGATGCCAGATTGTGACGACTGAGATATAGGTATAGACCAAAACAAGCCCAACCTGACCTGACCTAACCTTACCTACAGAATAAAGCAAATTGAAATCAGCATGACCTAGCCTCTGTCGTCAAAACGAATTCACTTATGACACACCAACCTACAAACCTACAAACCTACAACCTACCCTACCAGCCTACAAACCTGCAAACCTACAACCTACGATATCTGGCATCTTCCTGGGACGCCAGGCTTACTTATACCTGAAACCCTACCAGACCTGGACCACCTACATTTCATTTTCATGATTTCTCCTCTCTGACAGTGCTGGTAAATCATTCTGTTTCAGGCATCATGTTGTCACTTCTGGGAAGGACTGTTACTTATGCAGTTCCTCGTAACTTTGGGACTGCTCTGAGACAGGCACACCACACTCCCCTCTATGACTTTCATGTGGCAAATGGAGGCAAGATGGTGGACTTTGCTGGCTACTCACTGCCTGTGATGTATGGCAAAGAGGGAATTATTCAGAGCCATATGCACACTCGCACCAAGAGCAGCATGTTTGATGTGTCTCACATGCTTCAGGTATGACTTGCTCAATTATTGTTCTTTGAATCATTGTGAAATTGACCTACAGTATGATGCTATAGAATGTTAAAAGTTACATACAGAAGGAGTAGGTATCATCAAACTGGAAAATGGTGTGCTGGTTTACTAATGTATGCCAGTAGTTATTAGTCATCTGCCTCTTTAGTGTCTCCAAGTCTGTGACACATGTCCGCAACTCCTCGGTGGCCGCACTGCATGCCCGTCACCTCACGCCTCTGACACGCCCGTTACGCCCTCCTGCAGGTACACATCCACGGCGCGGACGCCGCACCGATGCTGGAGTCGCTGGTGGTGGCCGACGTGGCCGGCCTGCAGCCGGGCACCGGCACGCTCAGCCTGTTTACCACGGAGGCGGGCGGTATCGCGGACGATCTGATCGTGTCGCGCACCGCCGAGGGGCCGCTCTACGTGGTCTCCAACGCCGGCTGCCGCGACAAGGACCTGACGCTGATGGAGAGCCGCGCCGCCGAGTGGCGCGTCAAGGTCCGTGCCGGCGGGAAAAAAATGGGGAGACTTCTTTAGAGCCTGATTATAGTCTAATTGTAACTGAAAATTTACTGCTATGTGTACGTTAAGTGGCTACGGACTTCTTAAATTAGCTAAAAGGGTCAAACTGATCCAGCCATGTTCTGAACCGCTGACCGCTGTTGTTGCGCCGCAGGGCCGGGACGTGTCGGTGGAGGTGCTGGAGCGCGGTCTGCTGGCCGTCCAGGGGCCGGCCACGGCGCGCCTGCTGCAGCCGCTGACGCCACTCGACCTCAGTGGGCTGACGTTCATGCGGACAGCCGCGGCGGAGGTGTGCGGGCTGGCCTGCCGCGTCACGCGCTGCGGCTACACGGGTGAGGACGGCGTGGAGATCTCCGTGGCCGCCGCGGAGGCCACTCAGCTGGCCGAGCGGCTGATGGAGGCCGGCGGGGACGAGCTGCACCTGGCCGGGCTCGGCGCGCGCGACTCGCTCCGACTCGAGGCCGGCCTGTGTCTCTACGGTAACGACATCGACGAGACCACCACGCCCATCGAGGCGGCGCTGGCGTGGACCATCGCCAAGCGGCGGCGCGCCGCGCGCGACTTCCCCGGCGCCGTGACGATCCTGGCGCAGCTGCGCGACAAGCCGGCGCGCCGCCGCGTGGGTCTGGTGTCGGAGGGTGCTCCGGCCCGCGCCGGGGTGCGGATCGTGACACCGGACGGCGAGCCGGTGGGCTCCGTCACCAGCGGCTGCCCGTCGCCGGCGCTCAAACATAACGTGGCCATGGGATACGTGTCGGCGGCGCACGCCAAGCTGGGCACGGAGCTGCGCCTCGAGGTACGCAAACAACGCGTGCCGGCCAAGGTGGCTAAGATGCCGTTTGTGCCGGCCCGCTACTACATGGGCGCTGCCTAGATGGAGCGATGGTCTTCGTGGCTAGAGGGGCTGTGCAACTATAGGGATTGTCTGCATGGGACTTATCTTCATATCAGGGATCTAGTGCAACTAATATGGGCTCTAGCTCTAGTTATAAATGCAGAAATATTCGCTAGAGGGTTAGCTTAACTAGACTTCGAAGCCGATTTCTCAGGGTGTAGTCAAAGGGAATGCCCATCAATGCATTGAGACTGCTGCTGAGCTTCTCCGCTAAGTGGAAATGAATGGGTGCGCCCTCAGAAGCATTATGCAAACGCAATTTTGTCCGTTCAAAAAATGGAGGCCAGGCACGGTGTGGTTGCTGGGAACTGCTTGAGATTCGGAGAGTTCACGTCAATTTTGGCTAAAATTCAGGCTCGTGAACTGCAGTGGACTAGCTTCTTGTGATGCTTGCCCAGATTTGGTCATGAATTTGAAACATTGTGTTTTTACATAACATCTCATGCAATATGCTGTGTTTTTGAATTTAATGTTAAATATGTTTAAGATATTGCTCAGGTGTTTGAGATATTATTCACCCAAACTTGTGTGCTGTGATCTCTCTAATTACTCCTTTCACTTTTCGCGAAGCGAAGGTAATTATACGATAAGTTTTGCATCCGCGACGAATCACCCCAAAATTTGTGTGGGGTGTTGTATTGCCGTTGTTCTGCCTTGTTGGTGTGACCCATCGAATGATGTTATACTCTTCTACGTACACGACGAGCTTAACTTGTGCAATATGTGTTCTAACTAGTCGAGAGGCTCTCTGATGTTCGATGGAATCCTGGATTTTGTACCGTGAATTTATTCCGAATACATTTTGGAGCATTGTTCATTTCATTGTGTGCAAATGACCCAAAAACATTGATTGTACGATCCAAGGTATGATCTTAGGTCGATGGTACAGCCCACCGCTAAAGTAATGTAGGGTTTTACCAATCTCAACGGTTGGCTTTGACTGGCGATTGTTTAATGCGGAGTGATCGAAAAGAAGATGTCAATAGCTAAAGTTGCAACTGCAAGGGTGACGATACATATAAGCTATATTCAAAGTTTCATTGTAGCCTGGCTAATCGTTCCTAAGCTTCAGAATACCCATGACTGAAACCGCACATTTCTTCTGCTGTGGACTGTATCGATGATGTGGCTTTTCCTAGTGTACGTGTAGTCTTCTGGATAGGCAAGGTAGCTTCAAGCTTAGAATCATTGACCTTATGGTCAATGTGAATGAAATGGTATGGATTGGAATAGGAACCATGACCGGTGACCTGGATTTGTGTTGGCATTTTTCAGTTCATTTTCAGTGTTTCTTGCTGAATTTCGTTACATCTGATCCATCGTTTGATATTGGATTCCGGCGGAGCTGTTATGTAGGTGGCAGGTTAGGTGGTTAGTTGTGGAAAGAAAAGTGGTTATTTTCAGCGGAAAATGTGTCCACTCAAGATTTTGTATCGTGCGCTATCAGGGGTAGCCAGTAACAGTTGGTAGCATTAGGCCAAATGGGCGCTCAAAAACTACTACCCCATAGGGTTTCCATGTTAAATCGACCTTTTTCAAGCGAGCCTCACACGTAAGCTAAAAGATAAAGTGCCAATATTATTGTGGGGACAGGTAGCCTCAAGCTTCCTCTACAACCTTTTTATCTAGCGTTTTTCGATGCGGAGGCCAGAACAGGTCCAAAAAGCATTGGGCGCTGCCCGAGGTACCAAAAGCCCCTCCTTGAGAGCAAAAGTTCCTGCGCATGCGCACATTGCCTCAACCCTGTACTGGCATACATTAGTGATACTGCTCACGGACTCGGTCAGCCAATCAGCGTCCCGAATTACATTAATAGATGTCGCTAGCGTCACGTAAATCCTGCTTGCGAACACATTTCAAGAATGAAACAGCTGCGCCATTTCCGCCTTCCGTTGATTCCTTCCTTCCATCTTCCATCAAGACTCATCTGCATCTTAGTATCAACTATACGCTTTTCAACTAACTTTAGACTAAGTTTTAAACTATGGTCAGTATGTTATTTCTGGTACATATAATTTAAAAATAACTGCTTTATGAATTTGGCTTTACTCGTCAGAATAGAATACTCCGGATATGTCCAGGACCTTAAGCTACTGGAAAGTGTGCAGCGAAGATGGACTAAACGCATCTCCGGTATGCAGTCCTTATCCTATGGTGACAGACTGAGAGCCCTAAACCTCTACTCGGTCCAGGGAAGGCTGCTCCGTGCTGACCTCATTCAATGCTGGAAAATTTTTCATGGTAAGTCGATCATCAAGCCAGCTGACTTGTTCTTACAGCCTCCTCAATCTCGGACCCGAGGTCACTGCTACAAAATTTTTCCCTCGACCTTGCGAACCGATGTAAGGAAGCGCTCGTTTTCTCGTAGGTGTATATCTGTATGGAACTCTCTCTCTGCGGAAGCTGTATGCGCGGACAATGTATCGCGATTTAAAGGAAAACTAGACAGTGAACTGAATGACTCATTGTACTGTTTCTCGTAATGGCTGATACCATGTCTTACTGTCTCATCTTAGGAAACTAGTATATGCTACATGTCAATTACTGTTGTGAGGCGCACATTTCCAGACAGTTTATTTATGATTGTGCTCATAGGACATTCCAGCACTACTGTTTGGCGCGCCTTATGTTTCTGGGGTTCCGTAGTCCACTCCCTGCCTCAACTTCCTAAATTGCCATTCCCTCACAGTCGGACATTGGAACCCAACCAGGTAAGTAAACCAGGTAAGTAAACTCTATTTTTTCCATATTCAAAAAATATATCACCTACCCTGTAACTCATCCAGGTAAAATGGGCGCTTTCCGCGTCGTTGGTGTACCCGTTGTTCTATATACCCTGATCACCCCCCCCCCAAAAAAAAAAAATATTGAAAGCTATCAGTACTTTCGTTAGTTGTGAAAATACACGTTTTAAAAAAAAGACTGCCGCCGACTCGAAAGCATCTGTTTTTCGTCAACCTTGTGGTCACATTTGCGTGCGTGTTGAGAGAAAAAAGAATGCGTGTTTCGCTGTATTGTGTGCTATTGAGAACATCTCATATTAATGTTGGGATTGTGAGAAGCGTGATAAATTTGTGCCCCTCGTTCAGATCCAGCGTATCTGAAACACTTAACATACATCACCTAATTTCAATTTCAATTTGAATTGGCCAGGCAAGGCATTTGTCGCCAAAGCGGAACAGGCTGTACAGCAGGGGTCAACCTGACTGAAAAGGTATGTAGTATTTACCAATTTTTGATTTATTGCTTAAAAGTATGTTCCAAAAGTCAATAAATTTGTTTTTTTCTGAGTTCAAGTTGTATCATGTACTAGGTATAGTCTGTTCCATATCAAGCTTGCAGTCGGAGTTTCTTCGGCAGATCGCTCCTCCGTTCAAAAATTTGCGTTTTAAAATGTAAGAGCTGTATATACAGAAATCACGCACTGCTTTCAGCTGGGCACTTTGGCTGCAAACTTGAAACGGAACAGAGTATAGTACATACATGTAATGTGGGTAGGACTGCAGCTGCAGTTGTACATGGGTAGCCTAAAAATTTGGAAGAAAAATTGGATTTTTTAGCAGACTGTTAAGTTTTAGTACTTACTTACTTACTTACTTACTTACTTAAGATGCACGGAAAATTTTGAGAGGCCCAGGGCCTGTAGTGTCCGCTCCAGTCGAGTTCGTGTTTGACAGTGTTACTGTTCGTATGGTAGGGGCGGGGTGAAGTGGAGGTGTCTCCAGTGAGTGTCGAGCCGGTTCTTGAACGAGTTTAGAGAGTCGGCGTCTACGACGGATGATGGTAGGCTGTTCCAGTCGTTAATGACTCTGACTGCGAACGCGTTTCGACGGATGCGGGTGACGGCATGGGGCTTCGCAAGACGCCAGGAGTGTCCTCTTGTATCTCTGGTCGTTACTCGGTTGAAGAGCTCCTCCGGATTCAGGTCCAGTCTCCCATGCAGCACATTGTAGACAGCGATCATGTCGCCGCGTCGACGTCGGTAGTGGAGGGAAGGCAGCTTCATAGACTTCAGTCTTTCTTGGTACGGTAGGTGACGTACTTCTTGGACCAGCTTGGTCGCTCGGCGCTGGACTCGTTCGATGAGGAGCTGATCCGCTCGATTGAATGGCCCCCAGACAATGTTACCGTACTCCAGGAGCGGTCGCACAAGCGTCTTGAACAGGATTGGCAGGGTCATCTTGTCCAGCAGGCTGAATGACCGTCTTATCACGGCCATCACTCGAGATGCCTTGTTGACCGCTGCCGCTGCTTGCCTCCTAAACTTCAGCTCCGCGTCAACAATCACTCCTAGGTCCTTTTCCTCTGTCGCCGTCTGCAGGACTTCACCGTTCAAAAGGTAGTCGTGCCGGTGGACGTGACGACCGACGTGGAGGACCCTGCACTTCGTGTCGTTAAATTGCAATTGCCAATCCTCACCCCACTGTGTCACAGCGTCCAGGTTCGCTTGGAGAGCCCGCGCGTCCTCATGGTCACAGACGACCTGGTACAATTTGCTGTCGTCGGCAAAGACCTTGACACCGCAGCTTAGGACATTTGGCAGGTCGTTAACATATAGGACAAACAATGTAGGTGCCAACACAGATCCTTGCGGGACTCCACTTGGGACTGAGGTCCATTCCGAGCAGGAACTGCCGATCGTAACCCGCTGCTTTCGCCCCGTCAGGAAGGCCTCTATCCATCGTAGCAACTTCCCACGGATTCCATGTGCAGCCACCTTGTGGAGAAGCCTGCGGATTGATACAGTGTTGAAGGCCTTGGCCAGGTCAAGATAAATGATGTCCATGGGGTCACCACGTTCTGCAGCACGGCTCCAGTCCTCTGCTGAAAGTAGCAGTTGCGTGACGCAGGACCTGCCCGGCCGGAATCCATGCTGGGCTTCAGTAATCAGGCCCTCTGCCTGCAGGTGCTCCATCAGCCTGTCCCTGATGATGGCTTCCAGCACCTTGCAGGGCACTGGCGTCAGGCTGACTGGTCGGTAATTGCTGGGGTCGTCCTTGCTGCCCTTCTTGTAAATGGGGACCACGTTGGCCGACGTCCAGTCCTCTGGAAGGATCCCTGTATCGAGCGACTCCCGGTACATGGCTGCTAGTTGAGCTGATATTGAGTCTCTCGTCTCGTGGAGTACCCTTGGATGAATGCTGTCAGGTCCAGCGGCTGAGGAGGTCTTGATCTGGGCGAGCTTCTGTTTTACCAGGTCCTCTGAGATGTCAACGTCCTCTACCACTGGTCCCCTGTACGCGTCCCCGGCGTGCGGCATCGGTCGAAGGTCATCCTCGATGCAGACCGAGCTGAAGAATGCGTTCAGCACCGCGGTCTTCTCTTCGTCGTTTACTGTAAGCTGACCCGAGTCTGTGCGGAGGTTCTCAACGCCGGCCCTGCTCTTGGTTCTTGAGGCCGAGTACCGCCAGAACGCCTTTGGGTTTGCCTTCAGGTCAGCCGCCAGCTTCCTCTCCAGTTCCTTCCTTAGATTGCGGGTGAGCCGTCTCAGGTCGTTGCTACATCGCTTGTAACGTGCAAGGCAGATGTCATCCATGGATTGGGTGTACTGGATCCACAACTTCCGCTTCAGCTTTTTCAATCGCATAGCTTCCCTGTCCATATAGATATTGCGTCTCTTATTAGTTGGGCAAGACCTGGGGATACACTGAGTCGTCAGAAGATCCAACGTCCTTTTGAAGTACTCGTATCTGGTGCGCGGGTCCGGAGGATCGGGCACTTCCCAGACAGTCTCCCTGATCCGATCATTCAGGAGCGCATAGTTCCCTTTGTTGAGGTTCAGCCGGGGCTCCTTTGGTTCTCTTCCCTGGTCATAGTGCACGGTCTCAAACCTCAGTACCACATGGTCGCTGTGTCCTATGGGTGGGTGGTAGACAAGGTTTTTGACTAGCCCCTCCTCGTTACTCAGGATAATGTCCAATCCGCTAGACCTGTTGCCTTCCCTGTATCGTGTGTCCCTGGTGACATGTTGTGTGAAGCCACAGTCTTGCAGCCCTTCCATAAATTGGTATGTATGATGGCCCTCAGGGGCAGTGGAGTAGCTGTGAGTCCAGTCGATTTGGGGGTAGTTGATGTCCCCAGCAATCAACACTTGGGTGTTTCTTTCAGATGTGCAGCTAGTGATGAGCTCCAGTAACTCAGACGTAGAAGACGGTCCGTGGGCAGATGGGCTACGGTAAATACATCCAATGAGGAGGCGATTTGGGTTTCGCAGAGGGATCTCCAGCCACAGATGCTCGATTTGATTGCAGCCTGGGAAAGAGCGCTTGGTGGTCCTGATAGAAGTTTTGACGAATATGCCAATCCCTCTGTACCCACTGCTGCCAAGGTTCTCCTTTCCTGGATCGAAGTTCAAGTAAAGATTATATCCCAGAATAGCAAGGACTGCAGGTGAAATGGGGTGAACCTGTGCCTTTGGAATTATCTCTGTCAAGAGGATTATGTCTGGCTCATCGTTTACCAGGGCCATACAGAGGTCATCCCGTTTGTTAATAAATTGGTCTATGTTTGTGTAGAGGACCTTGAGTTTGCTTGACCTCTGCCTTCCTTCCTTATCTAGTCAATGCTGGTTGGGTGCCCCAGCGCCTGGCGCAATGGGCTCAGTGGAAGGTTCCGCTCTTGTCTGGGATGCCGCCAGCTGAGCGGTGTTAGTTGGCAGCCTGGTCTCAGTCCCATTCCTTGGGACTCCTGCATCAGGTCCGCTTGCTGGGAGATGTGTGCTCACAGGTCGGGAGTGACGTCTTTCAACTGGGACTGGGACAATCCTGCCTTGTCTAATGTGGATGTGCTCCTCCCCAGATGCTTTTCTCCTGGCCAGTTCTTGCCTCAGAGCGCGTGCTTTCTCTCGTTCTTGCCAGGTTAGGTCCGGGGTGATGTACACATTGCCCCACTCCACGGTTGTTCTTAGGGTGGCTGCTGACCTCAGGATGTTTGTTCTGTCTTCCATGGTGGCAAGGGTCACCAGCAGCAGTCTAGGCTTGTTCTCTGTCTTCTTTCCGATGCGGAATGAGTTTGTACATTTCACGACCAGCTTCATCCCCTCTTTTATCATGCTTACAAACTTCACCTCATCACTTTTCCTGTCTGGTTGGGCTATGGTGTCTGTTTCAGGCAGGTTATGTACAATGACGTTCATTTTGCGCCTTTCTTTGTCCTGCAGCTCGTCTAGAACCCCCGCAATCTCTTCCCTGTTCCTTTGTACTGGCACTGTCACCTGTGGCAGCTTGCTTATTTTCTCTGTCACTTCCTTCACAACTTCTGTGCTTATCCCCTTTAGAGCCTCTGCATATGTTTGCTGCTTCGCTTTGTCTTCTGTTGTAACAGCGTCCATCTTGTCCAACACCTTGCACTGGACTGCAAACATTTTCTCCTGGTTCCTCACAGACTCCAAGATTGTTGCAGAGTTGTGCCGCATGATGTTCTCTAGCTTATCCATTCTTTGATCAATTCGGGCAAGATCGTCCTTGGTTGTGTTTGATGCCATGGGTTGCGTCTTATCATGCAGCCATTTCGTACAGTTTGTGCAGAGCCACACCAGTGTGCCATGCCACTTGTTCAGTGCAGACAATGCACCCTTTGACAAGCCTTGGCATTTGCTGTGGTACCATCCAGAACACTTTTCACATTCAACAGCTCCTTCACCGTCTTTGACCTCCTTGTTGCATACCGTCTTTCCTGGACCACCCCTGCAAACTGTTAGTCCCCTCGGGTCCTCCCCATCTTGATCAGCGTCGAAACGCGACCCCGACCCCGGGTCAGGGCTCGTGTTGTTGGACCGAGTCCCCCACGGTCTGTAGGCATCACTATCCAGCCTCCTTATTTCAGGGGTTTTGTTCCCATTCAGTTCCTGTGATGAGCTTGAGCTACCATCCCTCGTCTCCCCGGGGCCCCGGTTGGGTTCCAGTGGGACTTGGCCCCCCTCCACTGTCTCAGCCCCCGGGGGCTTCTTATCATTTCTGGTTTTCTTACCTCTAGTTTCCTGTTTTGTCACGCCTGATTCATTCGCACCGCCGTCATGCACTTGATTATCCGTATTATACGTGCTGCTCAGAGATTCAGACGTATCACTCACAGTTTGCGGTGTTTGCGGCGTTTGCGGCATATTCGGTGTGCCGGACGCCGCCTGGGACGCCGCAGTCGCCCGGCGTTCGGTGTTGGCGTTGGTATTCGTCAGACTGGATACAGATTCACTTTCGCGAATTTCGCTTGACGCAGCCTTTTTCAGTGGAGGTGACCTTGTTAGTCTCATGATGGCCTGTTATTGATTGTCGATGTAGCTTCTTTCAGCTAGGTGTTGAGATATGTGTGTAAAGTGGTGAGAAATGTGTCTGCGGGAGCTCGACTGGACACGTCCACCCCGGTCGAAAGCGCGACGCAGAATCAATAGTAGGCTTATCTATGTTCTAAGCATTTTGTAGCATATTTTTTATTTGCCGCCAAGCCCTCCCCTCTCATAAAAGTGTATTTATATAATGATTGCTCAGTCTTAGACCGTTTTCCCCTTATTTTTCAGATGCACAGGAATGCTGGCCCCATGTCTGGTGGCAGTGGCCACGGGGGAGGGGAGGGAGACTGGGTGTGCCCTTCAGCAAAGTGAGTAAATGCCAGTTAGTTGAATTACAGCCGTGAATCAGAATGGCTGATACAAGTTCTGAGATTTTATTTACTTTTTGCTACGTGTTGATCATTGCTGCCCTTCATATTGATCTGTACATCTTTGCTTATTGGGCAATGGTCTTCTCTCATCTGAGCTGTGACAATTTGCTGTCTTCTTTTCAGGTGCAACAACCTGAACTTTGCCCGCCGGATGTCCTGTAACCGATGTGGCACCAACAAGCCCAAGGAGATGGGCATCAAAAAGAAATTTGGCATCGAGATTGGGAAGGCAGCTGCAGACAAGAGCAAAGGCCTGTTCAGTGCTGATGACTGGCAGTGTAACAAGTCAGTGTCTGCTTTCCACTGTCCAGTTCTGTTCAGCTGCTTTATATGACATTTGGTTTTAGAATGCCCATCAGCCTACCCTACCAGATGCAGCAGCTCAAAGATCTATTTGTTCCTGGTCAGGCGCAGATACTTTCCCACATCATATGGTATGAATAATGTCAGGAAGTTTTACCAGTGTTTGCCTTCTTTGGTAACATTTGCTGAGAAGTGAGTGTTTGCTGTAACATTCCGGGCTCCGCGCTATGATACCCGCTATGTTTGACCATTCTGTTTCTTCCCCCGTCCAGGTGCGGTAACGTTAACTGGGCGCGCCGCTCCACGTGTAACGTGTGTAACGCGCCCAAGGTGGGCGAGGTCGAGGAGCGAACCGGCTTCGGCGGCGGCTACAACGAGCGCGTCGGACTCGAGTACAAGGAGCGTGTCGAGTCGGACGACGAGTACGACGAGGTGGGCGCCCAGCCACCTCTGGACTGGGGCTATTTCGGCCTGCTAACGCGATAATGACGGAAGATCTTACTGATTGTTGAATGTAGATGCTAGCTGGATTTAAGAATATCTTGTTTTTATTGCTGTTGGGAAACCAGTATCCTCTTGCTTACGTGCAATCGCGTTGCCGTCATCTGGATGTTCATTTGCGGCGATTGTGTCATTGTGAACCGTAATGGTTACCGTATGTTTCAGTTCGGCCGGAGGAAGAAAAAGTTCCGAAGCAGTTCGGGTTCTGCCAGCAAAGAACCGGTAAGCTTGGCACTGGAAGCAATATGTTCGCTTCTTTCCTTCGATAGTGAACCTAATGTACGGATACCGATGTTAACGCATCGGGGAAGGTCTTTCTGGTGAGCATAGCAATTAGCATTCATAATTGTTCGATAAAATCAGCAGGGCTGTCACGCCTCTGTCTGACTCAGCCCCTTTCCACGTCAGGCGAAACCGGCGCCAAAGGAAGAAAAGGAGGAATCAGAAGAAGATGACGACGATGACGATGACGATGACGGCGACCTCTCCAAATACGACCTGAGCGGCTGGGGTGACGACGATGACTCCAAGACAGACTCCAAGACCGACTCCAAGGCCGACTCCAAGACCAACTCCAAGACAGACTCCAAGTCGAAGGAGAGGTCCCGCCGCCGCTCCCGGTCCTCCTCGTCTTCATCTTCTTCCTCCTCGTCGTCGTCCCGGTCCGGCTCACGCTCTCGGTCCGGCTCGAGGTCACGCTCAAGGTCGAGGTCAAAGACGAGGTCACGCTCCAGCTCCAAGTCAAAGTCACGCAATGGGAGGTCAGTAAAAGCTGAGTGGGTGTAAATCGATCAAATCAGGCAGCAGTTTGCTGCATCTGAGCCTTACAATGTAAAATAAGTAGGAAACGTCAATCGTGCATGTGGATTGTCATTTGTCGCATTAAAAAAGTTTTAATTAAATTTTTGGCATATCATTCACGCTCCATGAAATGTTACAGCTTCTTGCGCATGGTGTGTTTATAGTCAGCCACTGAATGATGAATGACCGTATGATCTGCAGCTGGTAAACCGTGGCCCGTGTTTTACCCACTGTGTCTGCTCCGCCCAGGTCGGGACGGCGGCGCCGGTCAAGCAGCGGCTCTCGCGACTCCAGTCCGGCGGCGGGCAAGGGCCGGCGCAGGTCCAGGTAACCGGCAGACTTGTCTGCCTTCCGGTAGGTACTTCCCCGTCACACACAGAGCGACACCGCAACACACGGCCACTCACAGAGGAAGGAGAGCGACGGTCTGAGGTCGGCAGATACCCTACCACTGCTGAGAGAGGGCCGAGAGACTCGTCCCGGCGCCCGTAAAACCAAAATACCATCGTTACATCACTGGAGAGAAGAGAGCGCCCCGACACTCAGCCCACTGACGGAGCAGCGAAGCCAGTCTCTGGACTCGCCGGCGGCCCTGCCCTGTGGGGCACGCCGCCGGCCGGCCGACCAGTGCCTAACGGCCGCCCTCTGCCGCCAGGTCCCGCTCCAGGTCCGGGTCGAGGTCACACGGCCGCCGCCGCCGCACCCGCTCAAGGTGAGGATTTCTCCAGACGAGTCTGCTGGGGTCCTGGCTAGTGATTAAAGGCGTTGTGACACATCGACAATGCCATCAGGTCCGCTTATCACCATCGGAACAAGGCTGGTAGTGATGGTGGTGAAATAAATGTTAGTTGAGCACAGCTGAACCAGAACTTTGTTGAAATGATTTAAGTTCTGTCTGACTTACTTCTCGTCATTCTTCTGTTTGCCCCAGCCGTAGATAGCATTCCCGATGAAGCCGCAGTCGTATTTATCAGTGACTGACGGGCTAACCTGGCTGTTTCACAGGTCGCCTGTGGGCCGGCGGTGAGGTCGCGGCGGTCTCCCGATTGGACCGCCGGTACCATCGAACGTCTGCGGGCCTATCGACTGCCACCGAGCGTTTCATGCCGGCCAACACAGCCCGGCCACTGGCGCCAGACACGACACAGTAAAGTATTCCCCTACAGTCGAGCGTTCTGCCGTAAAGTATGTGAGCTCAGTTCTGGTTGCGAAAACAGTGGGTGTTGTGGATGCATTGGGGTAGGAAACAGATCAAAAGGTCGGCTTCTCTGTGGTATTTGATATTGAGACGAGCGACTTCGTTGGACTGTAAAGTCAAGTGCTAGACTAAGCTGACTTGCCGCTCATCGGTACGTTTTTTCGCTTGTTCTCTGTGTAAATGACAGGGTCTGTAGGGATGGGTTATATGGGACGCAGATCAGGGGGAAAAGCGTCCCATGCGAGTTGCAACTTCGTCGATTTGTATTGATTGACCCATTTTGGTGCCTTCCTTGCCAATGACTTCCTAATTTAGGAAACTATTGCCCTCCCCAGCTTACCCTAGGTTCCAACCTGTCAAAAATGCTGATCTACTGAAGCCTCGCATCTTCAGCATTGATGCAGTTCTTGCTGAATTGATTTTTGGCACGCCATCCTCTTGTTATTGGGTATTGTTAGTAATTTAACGTTTGCATGCTAGCATTTTCGGTAATAAAAAGAGGGCTGCCCTGCCCCCCCCCCCCCCGTGTCCGGCCGTCGGTGTCGTGTTAGGTCCGCTGGTGGTCGGCGACCCGCTGTGGAAGCGAATTGCGCGCGTTTCCCAGCCATTTATCAGCGTTTCATACCAGATATTCGGTAGTTGACGTTCGCTTTCGGTTTACTGCCATCTTTGATTTCGAGTTTTTTATTCGTCATTCGCATTCAGGACAAATACAGTTGGAAACCATGCCAAGTCATTTAGGCAACAACTGGTTGCGGAATGGTGTTGTGGTTTAGAAGGATGCTGGACTCTTGCACGAATGCTATCGTCGACACTTCGTGCAGAGTAGAGCGATTCTAGGCGTCGACTACATATTTAGCGGTTTAGTGACGCAATGGTCCACATCTTACTTTCGAACGTGCCGCACACGCACCAAAAAACACGACAGGCATCGTCTCGACTGTATTGGTCCGAAGCTGCAATACGCAGTCATCCCGCCGTGACTTCAGAGTTCAGACCCAGATAAGACCGGGCGACCGCGGTATACACCGAGTCGAGGGAGCGTGCCACATCAGTATGGGCATACCAAACCAGGTCGGTATGACCGCGGAGTATGGCTGCGACTTTATAAACTTACTGGACGGATGGATAGGGACGGTAGCGACACTGAAACACATACACGCCGGGCACAGACTACATTCAGTATCAGAGAGCTCTGGTTGAAGGCCAGCTCTGCACAGAGCGAGCAGCAGCGGTGACAGCGCAGACAGGCAGTGGCGGTGCAGACGGAGACGAACAGGCGCTCATGATCACGTGCAAAGGCGATGGACAACAGTGCATGCTTTCATGAGTCATGATATGAATGTCATGCCGGGTGTCGTAAACAATATTTTGCTTCAACAATGCATACTCTGCGCGACTCTGGCTCACCCTGACGCGAATTTCTCGCGTTATGTACTCATGACCGACCAGCCGTCTTACTAAAATATCTTAAATCTGACGGCGTTACGCCGCTAACTACGCATGAACATGATTCCGCGTTCTCACTAACCGCGCAGCAAGGCGCGACCCCCGCATCGCTTTGGTGTACACGAGATTCTCAGTGGCGTCCAGCTGGCACACAGAGTCTACTCTTCCCGGCGTGCTCCTTTGGTCTTCTCCTCTCACCAGCACAAGGCGATCATGCTGCACTTGGCCTGCTAGCTCATCCTCACACCTCACTCCAGCGGGTCATGCGATCAGACCCGCCCTCGTACGTGGCCCCTGCTTAATCCCATCGTGGCGCTTTAGTCCACGGCAATTTGATGCCGACATATCACGCACGGAGAATCAGTCCCCACTCTTGGCGCTCGCCGCCGCTCAGTCGCGGTGTTGGCGCGCTCAGTCCCTTCTCTTCGCGCTCAGTTACGACTCCTGGAGCTCATTTACGACTCTTGGCGCCCTCAGTTACAACTCTCGGTGCGGTCATTCTCCGCTCCTCGCGCGATCAGTTACGACTCTTGTCGCGCTCAGTTACGACTCTTGTCGCGCTCGTCGGTCAGGTCGATGGGCTCCAGAAGGCTGTTGTTCGCGGTGTCGGTGGCGTTGGCCGCGGTGTCGTCCGGTACCACGTGGTCGGTACCGTTCCGCGTGAGGTAGGCGTACCGGCCGGGGCGGTACGAGCACGGCCGCCACGCTGTGTCCAGGCCGGCGTTACGGTACAGGCCGCGGCCCTGCGTCACAAAACACCTGCCGGGGAGAGAGTGGGTGGGTTACGTAGGCATCATGGGATGCTAGGTAATCGACGAAGAGACCACCAGTATAGCGCCTTTTCGGGCGACTAACGGAGCGAGCGAGGGGGTGAGTCTTGCACGTGCGAAATTTCGAGGGGTACCTCCAACTGACTTGTGCACGGCACCCTACTGACCGGTCTCTAGCGATGTGCCAAATTTGAGCACAATCGGCCCAGCCGTTCTCGAGATCTGGAAGCGGCACCCTGCACGTGCGCACGTGCAAAATGGGTCCCAACTGACTTGTGCACGGCACCCTACTAACTGGTCCCTAACCGTGTACCAAATTTGAGCGGCATCGGTCCAGCCGTTCTCGAGATCTGGAAACGACCCCTGCACGTGCGCACGTGCAGCAGCACCACAACTCTGGCACATGGATATGCAGTGCCTAGTAGGTGCCTACCTACATGCCAACTTTCAGCGCAATCGGCCAAGTAGTTACCGAGATATTGCAACAATTACTAAACTGGCACCTCTTCGTTTTGCACGTGGCACGTGCATAAGGGGTCACCCACATGCATCGAGGATAGTCTAATACTTGGTAGAAGGAATGAAGCTACCCTACAAAAATTACCGCATGTAAATCGGTCAAGTGGTTGCTGAGATATAAGCCTCGCAAAAGCGTCCGCACGGCCGGCCGGCCGGCCGCTCATACTCAGAAATTTCCGTTATCCTACGTAAGACTTCGCTCGCTCCGTAATAAGATCATAACTGGACGGGAGTAAGCAGGCAGGCGCTGATGATCGATGTGGCCGAAGATCGAATAAATGAAAAGCTGCTGGGGTCGTTTGGAAAGACCGCCGTGACAACAAGGGAATAAAACGGAAAACTACCAGCGCAGTGTGCCTCTCGAAATCGTAAAGGCCACCATTAGTGCAACGCTTCCTATAACTCCCCCTCCCTCCACACCTGACCTCCCGATTCCTCTAATGTTTTCTTCTCCCCCCCCCCCCCCCCTGCCTCTGCCGTGCGACTCACGTTTCCATGTCCATTCTGGCGTCGTGCTGACACTGACTGTCCGGGTCGCAGCAGTAGTCCCAGACGGCCTCTGCCACGTCCGTGAAGCAGTACCAGTAGCCGCCGGAGCGGTCGATCCGGCACGGGCCGCGCACACACGAGCGGCCCGAGCTCGTCTCCAGCGCGCCGTGTCTGGCGACGGAGGAAGGGGGTCACAGTCAGCGTGGAGGAGAGGGTGGCGAGTGACTCTTGGGCTGTGGTGGTGGTTGGTGGTCACCCTTAGCGCGAACGAGGAACGGCTGGGAGGGAGGTCCATCTAGCAAGGCACCCCACTTACGAAAGCAACGAGTGGCTACATTTCGGCCTTGTACGTACTGAAACAAACTCCCGTCCACCATGAATAAAGTTGTTTCGCCCATCAACGTTTACCCTTGCTCCTATTAAGTTCACACTCAACTGCTTACTTCCCATTTCCGCCCTGCCCTGCCGGCACCCACCTGAAGTCGTACTGGTCGTTGGGCCGGTCACACTCCCGACCGTTGCCGTGGAAGTCGTAGATCTCGAAGCTGGGCGCCGGCTCGATATCCCTCGGGGAGAGTTCGCTGACACGCAGGTCGGTGAGGTGGCAGGAGAACGCCCGGCCGCCGGGCAGCACGCTGGAAACGGGTGGGGAGGGAGACGTCAGTCACCGTACCAGTTGGACGATACTTGGGGGAGGGGGGTGCATGAGAGAAAGGGGGCTAGGCCGACTGTTGAAAAATGCGCATGGTTTGATAAACGGTTTATGAGTAAACCAAGCTAAACAGTCTGTTGAGTATTGGAATGGGAGGGGCAGTGTACGAGACAGTGGGAGGGGCAGACAGGCCTATCTGAAAGAATCTTGGACAGGCCGCTGGGTACTGCACCGCACAATGGATACAACAATAGACAGTCACTCTCGGTCGTCTAGTGCATGACACATGGCTGCTGCATGACACTGGCCTTGGTCCATGATAGGCCGATTACATTCCTAAGATACGCTGCCTGAACAAATTATCATACAACCTGCCAGGTATGACAACTTCCGTGAGAGAATCATAAAACATTTGGTCAATCGCACCGAATCATAACCTCGCGGCATCAACTTCAGGGACATAAGAAAGGGAAAGGCTGCTAGCAATCAAACATTTGGCGGCAGTTCCTGACAGACAGATAGGCTATGCATGCACTTACATCCTCCTACATACGATACGACCCCAGTCGCCTCTATTATCCGTCAGTCTCTCACCCGAACGAGAAGGTCTCGCAGCGGAAGGCGCGCTCGTCGCGACAGGCCTGTTCACACTCGGCCAGACTGCGGGCGGTGATGTCGCGTCGAACGGCGTTCACGTTGAGCAGAGAGTTGTCCTGAACTCGGGCCGAACAGTCTGCGGGGAGGGTCGGCCGGGGTCAGACTGGGGGAGTCTGTGGGCGATGGGCTGCTGACAAACTGGTGTGAGTAATGTGCCAGCTTAGATGGTTAATGGGATATGCCAGTTGTCTCATCAGGCTAACTTAGTCAGATTTCGTACAGGTATTGCTTGATCATTCAAACAAAATCACTACAGCTAGTCAGAAGTCATTGTTGGACTCTAACGTTAGCACGTTAGCGAATAACGGTATGGTCGCTGACTGGTTAGCCTCCACGGCACAGCATCGCACCCCTCCCTTGATCACCAGCCGTGACCCTCGCCTGCCCCGGGCGGGGGCGTCACGGCGTCCCTCGGTCCACGCGCAGTGTGCACGGGCGGCGCGGCGTGACAATGCGTCCGTTGTGTCGCCGTCACGAGGTGTAACGTGACGAGGTCACGGCGCCGTCCTGTCACGGCGTTAGCCACCTAACCAGGCGAGCAGCCGGCAAGGACAGGCCAGGCGCGGACAAGGGACCGCGGCGACGCCCAGTGAGGAGAGATTGCGAGCCGAGCGGGCACAGCGGCCGTGTGTTCGGGTAATCACGGGACGGTGAAGATGGTGTCTTCACGGTTCACAAACGGTATACGGCCCTCACAAGGTGACCTGTGAGGAGCGATTCGAGTGGGCGGGGTTCGGAAGCCGTCACCCGCGGCTGGCTGGCGTGGGACGGCCGCACCCTGGCCTTGTTCATCACAGATGGCAGATTGAACTGCTGATGGGGGCGCGAGTTACTGCGCTGGAAATGGTATGCTTTGAGGACATGACAAACAAACGCCGGCCGAATAATCTTGGGAAGGCTGAGAAGGAAGCTCATGATCGCATGCGTCGGTGGCACCCAGCATTTATGACGAATTTCCGCAGCCATTGCATGACAAAGGCAAATTGTATACGGTATAAAACGCTCGTTAGTAACGCATTGCAGATAAAGCGTGAAGCTACAGAACGCGGCTGCGTTTGTTAGGATAAGACGACTGAGATAGACTGCAATCAGAACCCGGATTTGAATGAGCTCGCTGTTTGACAAGAATGCGTTAAAAATTGTTTCAACG